ACCCACAGTTGAAGAAATACAAAAGGCGGAATGCATTATTCTGAGAGCACACCAAAGAGAATACTTTAATTCCGAATATGAATTCCTGGTTAAAGATGTAGACATGGTGAAAACAAGACCTCAACTTGTACGACAACTTCACCTTAAAATCAATTCGAAAGATCTTATAGTCGCCCCCGGCAGACTCGAGCTGGCACAGCTCGACGAAGATGCTAGAATGCCAATCTTGATAGCCAGACGTAACCAGCTGACAAATCTTCTGGTGAGATATTTTCACTCTAACCAACTTCATGCAGGGGTCAATGCAACTATTAATGCTCTACGTAAAAGGTTCTGGTTGCCAGCTGCCCGTAGTGAAGTTTCTCGTGTTTTAAGAACATGTGTAACATGTCGTTATCAAGTTGGAAGACCTTTCACACTTCCACCATCTCCAGCATTGCCAGATTTTCGTCTAAATCGGATGAAGCCTTATTCAACAGTTGGAATTGATTTCACAGGTCATCTGATAGTGAAAAGTAGAGGCAAGAACACCCAGAAATGTTACATTTGTTTGTTTACTTGCAGCACAACACAAAATCTAAATTTAGAAGTCGTTACAGACATGTCAACTGATCAGTTCTTACAGGCCCTCAGAAGACACTGTGCTATTTATGGATTACCTACCATGATATTGTATGACAACGCTAAAACCTTTCTTAAGGCAGATGAGATCATTAAACTGTTTAACTTATTGGATGATCCATCTGTACAAAATCATCTTACTAACAAGAAAATTATTCATATGAAACATATTCCAGCTAAATCTCCACATTGGGGAGGAATGTATGAGCGGTTAATAGGAGTTGTCAAATCAGTCATTAAGAAGGTTTTGAGGAAAGCACTCATCGACCTGAATGAACTACAGACTCTAATCAAAGAAATACAGGCAGTTGTAAATGAAAGACCTTTAACATATCTATCTACAACGGCAGATGATCCAGAACCTATTACACCCTCCAAGTTATTCTACGGTTATGATGTAACAGCTTTACCTCATCCTAGTATAGATTCTGATGTAGAAGCTGATGATGTATATGATACTCATGAATCTATCAATCGAGCTGCTCGACATCGTTCAGTCGTATATCAACATTTTGTCTCTAGATTCAAGAATGAGTATTTATCAGCCCTGAAAGAGAGACATACCTACCAGATTAAGAAATATGAGTCTCGTACTGAATCTATTAAATGTGGTGATGTGGTTTTAGTGCACGATAAAGATCGCCCGAGAAGTCTGTGGAAACTTGCCATAGTTCAAGAATTAATTCGAGGACCTGACGGTTTTGCCAGAGCTGCGAAAATTAAGACAAGAAATTGTACAACTAATCGATCTATTAATCTTTTATATCCATTGGAAGTATGTTTATCTCAGCTTAAAGAATTCTTTACAGAGAAGATTCCGCAACAAGAAGAAGGTGTTCCATTGAGAAGAAGCAACAGAATTGCTCAACGCCCCCGCCCCAAATTTGTGGAATCTTCGGAAATTAGTGATAAGACTGTATAATATGGTTTATTTGTAAATCAAACATTTTATTGGTACCTGGTTTAATTGCAGTACTTCATGTACATCTAGACGAATTATGTGCGTCCCAATCAAACGCGCCCATCAAGGGAGTTAACTCTAATGTGTTTACTTTTACAGTCAGAAAAACCGCAACTGGCGGTCTCATAGAATTTTCATGTAATATGTGTATTTGTGTAGTTCTTATCAACAATAAACTTTAAAACACAGCGTGAAACATTTATTTCGGATCTTGTGTATACAGGAGTACACAGAAATGCAAATACCTATGAAGGTTGTGATATGATAAATACTCATAGACACTTGACATGCTTTGAGAGTATGTTCACAGATGAAGAACTTATCACCCCAACAGGACCACTGAGCTGCACATGCGACACGCAATAGCGCCATGCACGTGTGTGTGTGTGTGTGTGGGGGGGGGGGGTCATTGTCAAATTTGACACTTCAAGGAAGGGTTGATGAAAACTGCCGCGAGCTGGTTTATCTATCAATATATAAACTATAATTGTTTGTTTCTGAACAGGGGGGTTGGATGGCTGAATGGTTAGCGTGCGCGCGCTGTACCATAAAGTCTGTCATTGAGTCGACTGGCGTTGTTTCGAATCCCCGGTTGTACGTGACAAGGAGTAGGGTCGCCTGCCCAACCTCGTGGGTTTTCTCCGGGTCCTCCGGTTTCCTCCCACTGCTAAAGACCCCTACGCGCAAGCGAATTATTGAAATAAAATTAAACCATATGTTAGTCCCGAAATGACCTAGTTTGTGTCGAGTGGACGTTAAACCCCATTTCTCTCTCTCTCTCTCTCTGTTTCTGAACACGTATTTTGGCTTTTAAAATTAGTATTAGCGAGGTCTTATCAGGCTTATATTGCGAAGTGAAATGTTTTATGATTGTTTAATTAACTGGAATTGAGTTAAGATTATCCTCATTGGCAAAATAAACTCATAAAAATTCACACAATATTAACGGTTTTATCTCTTATATTTTTTTTTGTTTTGTCTATATATATTTTTGCCCCGCGTTTTATGGGATGCCCGGATATGCTACGGGAGAGATTTTATATGTGTTAATCCCCAATAATATGAGATTGGGATGCCCCGATATGTTACGGCTGAACCTGATAGAAAGCAATACTGTAACAATACCTTCATCGTAAAATCTAGGGGTAATGAACACCCAGTCGTGTAAACTTAAAATAGTGGCGTTTAACAAAACTATTTTTGGGACAATTTTAACTAAAATCGATTTTAACTTAGGACAGCCGTCACCCTCTCCTAACTTAAAATCACGACATTAACAAACATTGATTAGAGCTATGTGAGATCAATTGCGACATATAGATATATTTGGAATAATGATAATATTGCCAATGGCCCGGGATATATAATTTAAACATATAGTATCATTCACAAAAATAATTTTCATTCAATTTCTGTTCATTGCATGGGAAATATAGCTGCGCCCATCCGTTTATTTTATTGTAAGGCAATATAAGCAATTAGATGACGCCCCAAATTAAAACCCCAAGAAGAAAAAAACTCTCAAAACACCATTAAACAAAACTCTTTGTTACTGTTTTACATATTACCATATGAGAGAGAGAGAGAGAGAGAGAGAGAGAGAGGGTTACCGTCCACTAGACACAAACTAGGTCATTTCGGAGAAAAACACAAACTTCAATTTTATTTGAATAATTCGCTTGCGCGTAGGGGTCTTTAGTAGTGGGAGGAAACCGGAGGACCCGGAGAAAACCCACGAGGTTGGACGGGCGACCCTACTTCCTGTCACGTACAACCGGAGAATCGAAATCCCGCTATATGCGAAGTATTTATGGTTTTGGGGTTATGATGATTTATATAGGAGCCAAGGGTATTTTATATTGGGAAAAGATAATTTTAATTTAGTAAGATAGATAGGCATTATTCAATAAGGAGTGTGACACTTTGGAATGTTATACACGAAATAGCCAATGTTCCGATGTCTAGATTTGAAATGTCAGTCCCAGGGACCCTTTCAATAATACTTTGAAAATGCCAAAGTGCCACACTCCTTATTGGATAATGCCTATCCATGCCTACTAATAGTAAGTTGTTAAATAATGTTTGGTAAAATATATTATGACCACATCACAGTAATACTAATACTAATAGTCTGTATGTATGTCGTGGCAGTTTAGTTTCGGTTGGACTGAATGTAGACGCTGCCTTATCACTGAGTCACTCTCTTTCTTTCTCGCATCATTTAACTGTTTTGTTCTTAAAACATCTATAAAACGTTGGATGAAATCCAAAACCACTGCCGACTGTATCTTCAATATAATATCCTTCGTAACAAAATATCCATTTGTATCGAAAAATGCTGCAATGGATTGGTCATTTCCATCCAATTGAAACCAGTCTATAGCTACCTCACGACATTTATCTCACCTTGTGTTTGTAAAGGGTTCTGCACTTCCTTTATTAACACTGTCTAAGTGAACAATACAAGTTAATTGAGCCTTTGTCGCCATTTAGTGTAGCTTCTACATGTATAACTGCAATGTGTTCCTCGTGAAGCACGCCATTTTGTGTTTACCAACAACACACGCGAATGTAGACAATAACGTGATTGGTCAATTGTGGAAAAAACGATCACGTGACGCGGCGAACAACGCTGAATTCTGTCCAGTGACCTCGCGCACTGTGAATTTTACTATCAATAAATAGTCCGGATTTCAACGAAGAATATCACCGAAGAACTATGGAATTTTTTGGGGAACATTACAACAAACAAATATCTCTATATGAACTATACACTGACAAAATTTCTTCTAGACCGGATTTGTAGGAACGAAAATATTTTTGCAACGACAATTTGTGCCCATGGAATGCGGCCTATTATCAATACGCATTATTTCCATTGAAGCCTGCGAGTAAATCAAATGCCAAGGTCACGAAAGGAAATGCAAGTTCAAGGCCAACCAACTGGTACATTTCAAAACGAATAATACGCAATAAACTTATTTATTTCATCTTTCTACGACTATCTGACCATGTGCAGACATTGTTACAACGTATGAAACTCTCCTCATTGGTATTGTAACGGTTAGTTCAGCCTGGCAAGTGGCAACAGTTTTCAAATCCGAAGCGTTTATGCTTACACCCTAAGTGCCCTTGCCGGAATTGTACAGTGCGCGGGCGCAAGCAATTTTAACTAAAATCTATTAAAATTGCATTTTAAGTTACAATCGATCTTCGTGAAACGCATAAAATTTAAAATTTCACCATTTTAGTGATTTTAGTTTAATTTTTTGTGAAACAGGGCCCTGTACTTATAACTCCGTGTAGAACTGTCATATTTGAATCCAAATCCCAACCATCGGACGGGGGTGGGGGTCAAGCCCAGTTCCAACTAAGAAGTGTAAAACCTGTGTAATCCTTACAAAAAGGACAAGATATCTGAAAGAAATCATCTTTTATTCAATCCTGAAACTAATTATTTCGTATCCTGGTCCCATAATGAGTAACTGATACGCCTATTGCTTAAAAACATACGTATTTATAATTATTCCATCGTTCTCCACCTCTTCTGGGTATCTGGTTAAAAATGCGTCTCGCAGTTCTTCATAAAGTAATTCACAAATCTGAGATTTGTCTTCCTCGCTCCGCTCACCATCCAGTGCTCCATAAAAGGTATTATATGTTGGTACTCTATATAAATTTGCTAAATCCTGAGCAAATTTTTCTCTATCATCTACACCTGTGGATTATAAACAACACAATAAAGCAATCAACGCAACTGTTTGTTACCAAGTTGAGTTGGTTGTATCAGAAAGACAATCCAAACAGAAACCTCCATTACCTACAAGGTACATTTTTTATATATTTAAACTTAAAGGTGAACGACATTCTTCTTATTAAAAAGTGTTCTTTAAATAGTAAATTTGACGATTTTATGGTTCTGATTGTCTTCCTTTGAACAAATCGGAACAACCACCACCCAAGCAAACTTTGTAACAAATGTGGCTGAAATCAACTAAGCAATCTCGAAGTGGTCAAGCATAGTCGTTTGAACCAATCTAATAAGCACCACACAAGCAACATACCTACCATATTCGTTTAAAATTCACCGGGTGGTCCATGAAAACATTTCTAATTAAAAGGAAATTCATTTTTTTACTAACCAGCGAAAACCTCCAATGCGCTAATTTCCCTGTAAGTTTACTAATCTGTAACGCCACCCGCAGTTCTAGTTATTTAATGTTGTTAGCCATTTTCCTAACTGTAAAAGATAAAGGCCTGAACCGGTTTTCTATAGAATTCTTTAGAACATTCTAGAGAGTTGGGAGGGGGGGCTATCCCATTTGCTATAGGATGAAATTCTATATATATTCTACAGAATTTTGAGAGCCTGTAGGAAAAAGCGGTCGCAAATATTTTCTGTAGTGCAAATTATATAGCTTTTCCCATAGATTTAAGATAAAATTTCTATAGGAAAATACTATATAGTTTTTCCCATAGATTTAAGGTAAAGTTTATATAGGAAAATTTTATAGTATTCTATAGATTTTGTTATAGTGTTTTCTGTAGGAAATTATACAGCTATATTTTTGTCTTTAATCAAGTTTTTGTGAACAGACTGCACAGTTGTCATGCTTTCTTCAATTTCTTGTTAATACTGACTTCTATGAAGTTGTTATACATGTACACTGAATTTAAAAAATTAGAATTCAGCCAATGACCAAACAGTCTTTTCTTGGATTAACTTTAATCAGTCCACTAGCGAACGGATAATGTAATTGACTTTCCAGTAACAGAAATTTAACGAACAGTTATAAACAAACGACACGTTAGCAAGTTAACATAACTGAGTGTTGAACAACCGGCCCCTGAAACTTGGTGGTTTACTGTAAAAGTGGGCGATAGTGATCAAATATATCTCTTTAATATGCTTGAAATTGGGCAGTAATTCCTAGAATTTTAAAATGAGTTTTGAGCAAATCAATGGTTGTCTACGGGAGAGGAATTAACAACTTTCAAATGTAAAACTTTGTCGATAACTGAGTTGTTTTATAAAATTACTTTAATGGATAGCTGCAAATGACTTTGTATTTGCCACTAACCTAATACATGTCTTATTCCCAAGACGGACTTAATTACGATTTCTAAACGGGAAGGGGGGGATATATTTACCTAATTCTAGTCTCTCCTTCCATTCTGTTTTAAAGTAGCACGGAGAGATATCCAGTTTGACTTTGTGAAGCTTCAATCCCAAATTCTGTAATTCGTTTGAGGCCCGGAATGGTTCTTCTAGCTCCCGTGTGTTTCTAAAGACGACAGCAAATGTTCCTCTTACAAACTCGGCCTATGAAAGAATAAACATGACATATACTTCAAAATGATTCTGAGAGCAGATTACAACTAGGAAATGGTTGGCTGAGAGAGAGAGAGAGAGAGAGAGAGCGAGAGAGAGAGAGAGGGGGGGGGGTCCGTGTACAGTAAAAGAACCCTTGTCAGTTTGGAAGTTGAAATATGAATAGACCGACATGTCACTTCGGGCAAAATTGCCTACATAGCGCCCTGCATGTCGTATGGCAATCTCCATTATACACACAGTAGAACGTTAAACCCAATTTTATTTCATTTCGTCTTTAGCAGTAGGAGGAAACTGGTTTATCCGGCAAAAACCTATCTTTGGCTGGCGTACGATGTTGTATCTACTTACAATTACTTACCTGTGTAATAATACCACGAGAATAAAAGCTTTTCCAAAGTTTATCAATCTGAGTGTATACATCCTGAAAGGCCATCTTGGTTGGTTTCTCTAGTGTGGCCTCATCTTCCCCAAAAGTTGAAAATATACCCCATCCACCTAAAATAGATTCCTATAATTCAGTATGTGTATTATTAAGGTCGTTATGACCTCAGCGGAGTCTTTGTAGCGTGGTGCGACCACGGTAGAAACGTGGAGAACGTAATAGGCGACGGCCTCACTATAAGGGTATGGAACATTCACCGGGGAAGCGAAGTCGTGATAGATTCACTGTCATTTTTTAGCTGTCACCGGCTATCGTTTGAACTTCGTGACGTTAAACTTGATCGATTTGAACATATTTTATTACTTAAGTAACCAAAGTTACTAAAACTTACAAATTGTAGTAGGTAATCAGTGAAACAAAGTCAATAAATGTACATATCAGATACGAATGAACAATAAATTAACAAAACAAACATATTTACACAAGTTCAGTGTATTTAAAATATGAACGAGAAAGAATACCTCGGGATTACATACCTTACAACATGTATTTCTGAGTAATAAACTATAACACATACTTATGGAAGAACAATTACTGATTTATTTGGGCGACGTTTCGAAGAGTATTCTCTCAACTGATTTATTTGGGCGACGTTTCGAAGAGTATTCTCGCCCAAATAAATCAGTAATTGTTCTTCCATAAGTATGTGTTATAGTTTATTGCTCTATCCAGTTACTAAATGCCTCTAAAAGATTATTTCTGAGTACTTGCTTAACTGATCAAACAATATACTCCTTTGCTCATTATATAAAGGACAATTTTGTAAGTAATGTTGTGTATCTTCCGTTTCATGGCCACCGTGACATTTTTGATCATTTACAAGGATAGTTTTAAAATGATGTGATTTTAATCTGGATTAGTAAGGAAGCATATTATTAACCTGGTTTTAGTTCTTTTGTTCTGTTTTTGAGAAAAGACATCCAGTCATAATACGCCAGTTCCTTAATGGCATCTTTTTCTTCTTCACACTTTGAAAAATTACGGTACACGCTATCAGAGAGTTGCACCGATCTAAAATAAAAAACATAAGAACAATTCTCTCTCAATTCTGTAAAGACAATACATTAAAAATAAAACCAAGTTGTCTAGTCGTTCGGATGGCACAAAAAAGCGAGGTTCTGTATACACAATGGCGTGCACATAAAAGACCCGAAGAACGTTGGAATTCGAAATAAGAGTAAACCGTACCACCACTGTGTGGGTAAAATTTCCCTCGTGGCACTCTGCATGGCGTAATTCTGTCTTTAGTAGTCCAGTCGGCGAAGAAAAGTATGACATTAAACATCAGTTCATTTTGTTTAAAAGATTACTTACTTTGATAACCAATGTAGCGACGAGAAGGATATTGCAAGATCCACGGAGTTGGCAGGAAAACATTGTTTATAAAAATTGGTACCTGAAGATGTTACGTAAACATTTTCATGGTCCAAAAGATATGACCGGGGAATGGGTATTATACCTAGAAGAGACAAGAAAACATTAAAGCTGATTTCCCTCGCCCCGAAATAAATATTATCGAAAGTTCAGTGTATTCCAGGTGTGCTAGAGAGATGTCACAGATTGGAGGTGGATTGTTTTTTGGTCTTCGCTTAAAACAGTTTTAACAGAAAAATGGGTTGGAAATCGCAAAATTCTTCGGGGGCTTCATCACACGTAACGCGACCAACTGTGGAAATAGCTTACAGCGTCCCTTGTGTGATGGGGTGATGATAATTCATCGAAATATATTGTTTATGATCATTTTAGCCGATCAAGCCGTCTAGAATCGTCATTTGGAAACTCCTAGAAAGTATGGAAACTTCTGGAAACAGTGTTTAGAAATACTTGGAAGGTTTTGGGGGGTTCTCGGAATTCGAACTCAACCTTCATAATAGTGGAACGGAGAATATTTAAACCGTTTTTTTTTAAATCGGATAACCAGCGGCTGCCAGACAGCATACGCCCACATTTTGCAAGAGATGAATAGAGAACAAGCTAAAAACAAAAACGATTTTTTTATACTATCAAGGGCCATGATCCAGAACGTTATGGTCTGAAATGCGCAAATATCAAAAGGGGCTGAGATTTTTGGAATATAAAGATATGTTTTAAGTTTCATCAAAATGGAATAAAAATTCTGACCTCTAAGGGGTCCATAACCTTTGTATTACATGCTTTTACACAATTTGCGTACAGAGAGCGGCCATTTTGTCGGATAGTTTCATTTCGATTTTCCCGAAATACGAATTCAACCTTCATTATAGTGGCAGGGTGATATATCTAAACGGTTTTTAAAATCGGAAAAAATTGTGACCTCTAGAGAATCCAGACGCTGAAATCCAGGAAGTTACGTTCAGATATGTGTGATTATCAAATGGACCAAGATCTTTATGATGAAAACATATAAAGATCTTTATGATGAAAACATATAAAGTTTCATCCAAATTGGATAAAAACGGTGGCCTCTAGAGGGTCCACAACCTTGATATACCATATTTTTACACTATATGCGTACAAGGGGCGGCCATTATGTCCGATTTTCACGACATTCGCGTTATATATTTGCGTTATAAACATGCATTTAAAGTTTCGTCGAAATCGGATCAAATTGTGACCTCTAGAGTGTCCACAAGCTAAAAACGTGAGTTTTCTTACAATCAGGGGTCATAATCCATGAAGTTATAGTCCGATACATGCCAATATCGAAAGGAACCAAGATCTTAGGGAGATAGACCTATATTTAAAGTTTCGTCAAAATCGGATAAAAATTGTGATCTGTAGTGTGTCCACAACGAAATTGTGGGCGGACGGACAGGGGCGATGACAATATACGTCCACATGAAAATGTGGGCGTATAAAAATTGTGAACTCTAGAGGGTCCACAGCTAAAAACGCATTTTTTTGTACAGTCAGAGGCCATAATCCAGGAAGTTACAGTCCGATATGCGCGAATATCGACAGGAACTCAGATCTTTGGCCTATAAAAATACATTTCAGCTTTCATCAAAATCCAATAAAATTGTGACTTCTAGAGTGTCCACAGCCTTGGTAATACATACTTTTACACTATTTGCGTACGGGGAGCCGCCATCTTGTAGGTCAGTGTTAGTCCAATTTTCGTGAAATTCGAACTCAACCGTCATTATGGTGTAACGGTGATATATTGGAACGATTTTTAAAATCTGATAAAAATTGTGACTTCTATAGGGCCCACCTTGGTATAACATACATATACTATTATATTATTTGCGTACGTTGAGCGTCCATTTTCGGACAGTTTCGTTCTAATTTTCACGAAATTCGAACCCAACCGTCATTATCGTGTAACGGTGATATATTGGAACGTTTGTTAAAATCTGATAAAAATTGAAACATATAGAAGGTCAACAAGCTAAAAACGTGATTGTTCGTACAATAGGGGGCCATTATCCAGGACGTTATGTTCCGATATGCGCGATTATCGAAAGGAACCGAGATCTTTAGGATATAAACATATATCGTAACAGTGCATATTGAAGAAATATGCAAAAATATTTTATTTTAGATATTTAATTTTATGTATTTTAAAGAATGTATAGTTTATAGATTATATAGTTTACTGTTAATGTATATATTTTTATTATAGACGGCGATATAAATCAGGGTGTGTTCCCACTTAGCCGGCAGACTGTTAATCCTTTGATTGATCTTAAAACTATAGTCTGTTTAAAAGTAGTCACTCAAGAACTGTTCACTAGTGTTCAGCGTTAATGAGCTATAATCCCTCTTAATAAAATTTATTAACCAACTAATTAATGACATTTTGAACACAGTTCATGTCGGCGTTATGATTTCAAACATGAATTCAATTCACTATATTAATATAAATAGATGGTCGATCTGTAAAATGATTGTTATGTTGTAAGGCATTTATTTATAAATTATATAATGCTATTTAATAAAAGTTAAATGTGTAAATTGTAATGCATTTTTATATGTGTAAATCATTTAATGTTATTTAATAAATATTAAATTTGTTAAAATCAATATATTTTTATATGTGTAAGCTATTTAATGTTATTTAATAAAAGTTAAATTTGTTAAAATCAATACAGTTTTAGTCTTAAAAAAGATATGGACTATAGTTTATAACACCATTGTTCTAGGATTAACTCTGGATTAGCGGCAAAATTTGACATCAAAGCCTGTCGGCTAAGTGGGAACACCCCATAAATCAGCAATGACGCTGATGGCTGTCGATAGATTTTAAGCAATATTATATAATTGTATACCGGTATCAAAGTCTAAGAGCTTTAATAGAGTGTCCTTTATTGATTGTTTGTCTAGGCGTAATTAAGTAAGATTAATGGTGACAGCTTAAACTTTTAAAATATTATATAATTGTATACCGGTATCAAAGTCTAAGAGCTTTAATAGAGTGTCCTTTATTGATTGTTTGTCTAGGCGTAATTAAGTAAGATTAATGGTGACAGCTTAAACTTTTAAAACATACGCTAGGATTAAACGGACGCCATTACTTGGGTTGTCTTTACCTGACATATTAAACCAAGCAAGTCTAGATTCTAGCCAATTAGACTTCGTATCGAGAAATGGGCGTCTTTCGTCAATGGTTTTCCACCAATCAAAAAAAATGAGTTTAATCTTACATATTTACCGGGACTTTTGGAAGATATAAATAATCTAGCTCAAAATTCACCATTCTTGTCTACGATATCACCTTAGGTGGAAGTGGACGTAAAACTCCAGAAACGAACGAACGAATTCACCATTATCTTTACTTAATAAATTACTAAGAAACGACATAATTGGATTTCTCTTTTGTTCAAGGTAAGCTCTCTACTGTATAATTTTAAATGTTTAAACTTTATATATATTTTTATTTTAACTTGTGATTTAGAATTATATCCTTTTATATCGGATAAGTACGATAAGTAGAATCGGGTATTTAGAATTATATCCTATTATATCGGATAAGTACGATTAGTAGAATCGAGTATTTAGAATTATATCCTTTTATATCGGATAAGTACGATTAGTAGAATCGAGTATTACTTTAATAGATATTTCAAAATGGTATACAGACAACTCATCCCAAAGACAGCTCACCCTAAGACAACTCGCCCCAATATAAGACAACTCGTCCCAATATAAGACAACTCGTCCCATGTTAGAAGACAACTCATCCCAAATTTAAAACTTGGGTCGAGATGTAAGACAACTCGTCCCAACAAATATAAGTGCTAGTTATATTTGTCTTAATACAATTCCTTTCTTCAAAGACCACTCAGAACAATCTGATTTTGTTATAAAAATGTGTTATTTTAATCAAATTGATATTGTTTTAATCAATTTGATATTGTTGTTTTAATCAAATTGATATTGTTGCTTTAATCAAATTTATATTGTTGTTTTAATCAAATTTATATTGTTGCTTTACTTTCATCAAATTGATATTGTTGTTTTAATCAAATTGATGTTTTCACTGTTTTAGTCATACTACACGTCTGTGCTTTCCATTGGGGTCAGGCAGTTTGGAGAAATGGGGTTTAACTGACTCTGCCCTTTCTACCTGCAAAACACATGCTACCTAGAAGCTGTAATGCGCTAGATATCTAACAATACGATGACAAGCAGTATATGGACCATCCCGACCTGGAGTATTTTTGGGAGAACCATAAGGACAAATAAGAATGTTGAAGGTTGGCATACCAGAATGAATCAGAAGGCAAGAAAAGGAAACCTCCAATTTTACCTTCTACTAACATTGGGGTATAAGTAGGCAGCATAAAGCTACCAACCCAGATCAAAATTCTTATATTACTAATGTATTTAATATTATTATTTTATAAATTGTTGATATAATAAATTCTTAAATTTCTGATTAATTTAATAAATAAAAATGATAAATAAAATACAATATTTGTTGTGGTACATGTATGTATTTGTGATCTTCATAACTTGGTCCGAATGGTCTTATATCTTGACCCATGGATTAAACCAGACAAACTATCTTGGGCATTCTCGGTATCCCCAGTGTTTTCATTCCGTTCTACTGGGTTAATCTATAGGGTTTCCACGATTTCAAATGCATGTCCATTTACTGAATGATTTATGTAAAAAATGTATATATTTCTAATTCATTTATAATTAATTGTATCATCAAAATATGTAGTATGTTTCGCTGATTTCAAATATGTATAACATCTATATGTCTGACTTTTGATATTAGTATTAGTATTCGTACTTTTTCTGAAATGTTTCCTTCTGTTATGTTTATTATTATTGAACTTATACTTGGCAATTTGGCCCGGTCTTCATTAATTTCATATTATATAACTTGTTGTTAGTAATTACGCATTTAGAATAATTTGAACGTCTCTCATTTAGGCTAACCCCTAAATTTGTCCGATGAGAGTTACTTCCCTTTGCCAACTTCCTTTTTCAATTAATGATGCATGGGATTGGTCGATAAAAATAGCACAATCATCAAGAGTGAATAAGTTGAAAACTTGTCTCCCCCATAGATTAACCCAGGGGTTAGTGGAGTAGAACGGAATGAAACCACTGGGGATACCGAGGATGTATCTTGGGATGAGTGTTGTTTTGTTTTTTTAAGTTGCGACGAGTTGTCTTTTATCTCGGACGAGTTGTCTTTTATCATGGGATGAGTTGTGTCTAACTTGGGATGAGTTGTTTTCTAACATGGGATGAGTTGTCTTATATTGGGATGAGTTGTCTTATATTGGGATGAGTTGTCTTATATTGGGATGAGTTGTCTTATATTGGGATGAGTTGTCTTTGGGATCAGTTATCAGGTATTCTTCAAAATTTACGTAAGCATTAATTAATAAATGGAAAAGTACGTTTATCGACGAAATACTTGTTTATTTAAATATGTTTCAAATGTAGATATTTAGCGTCTAAAAATAATTAAAAATGGTTTGCGCCAAATAAACGGAAAAGTAAGAATTTATGTATTTATTACTTGTTTAATTACTTGCGAATATTTTACAATATATATGTATTTAATAAACCGAAAAGTACTATATATTTGATAGATTACTTGTTTATTAAAGAAAACTATAAGAAACAAAAAAAGTACGATATATTTTATTATCGATTAATGCTTTGTTGCTAACTACAGAATAAAGACCTAATATTTTTATATTAATTCGACATCAGTAACTTGTACCTCTTCACAAGCGAGTTAGCTCTATTAAAGATACATTATGGGAGATTTGATAACGAGTTGGCAGTTCTCACTATAATAGTTAAAAACTAGATAATGCAAAGGCAATTTGCTGAAAATTTCAGTCAAATTGATCCACTATGAACCCTGAAATAAGCGATCAAAAGTTCCGCATAGCCTCGGTCATCATTACTAAAGTCGGTACGACAAAAATGATAGTCTCGATTATCCATTTAATCGTTAAATCGAGAAGGAAAGTTATGCAGCAAATCGGATCATAATCCAACAATTATCGCAGGCTAGCGTTGACATCGAGAGTTGACTGTGGCCTGGATACGTTAATTAATGTCTAATTAATAGTTTATATTACATTTGAGGCCTAAAGAAAGACCTACAATAGGCAGATTTAGCTCTTGCATAATGTATGTTTAAAGATTAATGCATATTTTACATTATTGTGAAATTGTGTATATATATATATATTAAGCTACACCACCCTATACATTGTATTTATGTTATATTATTATTAATGTTTGAATTTTAATAATTAAATGATCTTCACTTAATAAATTACTAAGAAAGGACAATATTGGATTTCTCTTATATTCAAGATAAAAACAAACCAAAAAGAAACCACTTTTACAATAGTTTAAGTTTCATCAAAATCGGATACAAATTGTGACCTCTAAAAGGTCCAAAACATTACATACCTTTACACTATGTGCTTAGGTGGAAAGGCAATTTCATCGGGCAGTTTCTTTCCGATTTTCACGAAATTCGAACTCGGTCGTCATTATGGTGTAACGGTGATATATTTAAACGTTTTACTTTTGTTTTGTTTTTTTAAATGGGATAAAAAAAATGAGATCTCTGGAGGGTCCACAAGCTAAAAACAATACAGAAAGTTAATTTTCGATATGCGCGAATAATAGATCAAATTGTGACCTCTACCAGAGTGCCCACAAGCTAAAAACGTGATATTTCATAGAATCCGGGGTCATAATCCAGGAAGTTACTTTTCGATATGCGCGAATATTGAAAGGAATCGAGATGCTTGGGTTATACACATACATTATAAGTTTCATCAAAATCGGATAACATTGTGACCTCGTAGTGCACGCATGCTAAAAACGTGATATTTCGTACAATCAGTGCCCATAATCCATGAAGTTATGTTCCGATACATGCCAATATCGAAAGGAACCAAGATCTCTGGGATATAAACCTATATTTCAAGTTTCGTCAAAATCGGATAAAAAAAAGTGTGACCTGTAGAGTGTTGACAAACAAATTGCGGGTGGGCGGATGTCCGGACGGACAGGGGCGACAACAATATACGTCCACATGAAAATGTATACAAATGTAGTGTTTGTTAGAAACAATCCGAATCATTTGCTATTTTGTTTTAAACCAATTCTTTCTCTCAAACGCCCTTATCTGAAATTTGTAAGTTGTCTTCGTAATTCCCAACTATTTATTAAGAATATGACTACAAATGCATAGTAGTATTCGTCATTCACGATAAATGAAAAACTACTAAAAACCTATTACAAACCATGAATTCTTTTATATAAACTGTTAAAATCACTCAGTGGGAGATCTTCATACATTATATGTATTTCTTTGTTGATTCCGCACTTTGATCTGACCGTGTCTGAAATATAATTACAAATATAATGTAGGCTATTTGCATTATTCTATAATACAAGAGGTAACAATCTTCCTCGGTATCGGAAATCTACTGCTTAATTTAAAATTGGGAATATTCAAAGGGTGTTCTGGGAATAGCCATCGATATAGTCCATATTATAATAACGTCCATTAAGAAGCTATTATCACTGTACTTACTAATTATATCTGTCATAAGTCCCATTGAACTTGAACTATCAGCGGCGCCATATTCTGCTACAGTAAATGGTTCATTTTCTGAACTAGGATCGCTAATTAAAGTATCTGAAATAATTGTTTTACAAAGAGTAACATATGATTACATTTTGGGTATGCAGCTGCTCACTGGTAAATTTTAACTGGTGGTAGTTTGGCCATTTTATCTGAGAATCAGATGGTAGTACGAATTGATACTCTCGTCGCAATGGCTATAATGATTATTTTACCCTCTTTGATTTCAGAAGCCGGGGGAACCAGGTTGTAGGTAATATATTGTACCACTACTGCGCCATTAATGATAATACGTCGTGTATTCCTATTAAATATACATAAATGACGCATTTTTATCTTCTTTAAACGAAGTGAAACTGAACTAATCTTGTATAACGCATCAATATCGAAATACATTGGTGAGTACCATGGGTACAGTTGGTACACATGGTAATACGAACTACTTGCTAAACATTTTCTCCTGCACGTTTTGGTTTCAGACAGTAGTAAAATATAGGTGACCGGGTCCACCCCCTCCCCTTAAGTATTAAAATTATATATATTCACCAACTATTTCCAGTATCTGCTCTCTAGAGATGTCACAAATTATTTTATTTCTTCCCATAAGTTCGCCATAAGACGATTCTGGTCCACCTGTATTCATTACATTGTATGACGACCATCTTGAAATTAATGTTAAAGGACTCTGCGATCTAAAATAAAACGCGACAGATTGCCAGACAACGAAACATACGCCAAAGGTTGTTGCATATACATTATTTTGTAAGTAATGGGAACATGTTAAAAAGACTAAATCCTGGCCTAAAGTAACAACCTATGAAATAATTAATATATGTTTGGCTTCGAGTTCTACCTTGTGTTGACATTTACGGAGAAGCCCATTAAGGTCAATCACATGAAAAAAGTGTTCTAACTAGTTTATTGATTTATCGGATAAATAGGCCAACGAAGTACTTTTTTTATGGATCGGCACATTCCGGCCATTCTCCCATTAACATCATTCGTTATTTCTTTCTCTCATTAACCAGCGGTTGCCAGACAAGATACGCCCACAATTTGCAAGAGATGGATAGATAACAAGCTAAAAACAAAAGCGATTTTTAGTACAATCAGGGGCCACAACCCAGAAAGTTATGGTCTGAAGTGCGAAAGGGACGAATAAAAATTGTGACCTCTAAAGCGGCCATTTTGTTGGGCAGTTTAGTTTCGATTTTCCCGAAATTCGAATTTTTATGGTGGAATGGTGATATATTTAAAAGGTTTTTAAAATCACAAGATAAAAAACACGGTTTGTCGTACAATCAGGAGCCATAATCCAGGAAGTTACGGTCTGATATGCGCAAATAGCGAGAGGAACCGAGATCTTTGGGACATAAACATACATTTTAAGTTTCATCAAAATCTGATAACAATTGTGACTTCTAGAGGGTAGACAACCGTGGTATGACCTACCTCTACACTATTTAGTACAAGACGCCGCCATTTTGTCAAACAGTTTTGGTCCGATTTTCACGAAATTTTAACTCAACCGTCACTAGGGTGTAACGGTGATCAATTTAAAAAAGAACCACGATCGTTCGATTATACATACACATTTCAAGATTCATCAAAATAGGATAAAAATTGTGACTTCTAGAGTGTCTACAAGCAAATTGTTGTTGTCCAGAAGGACAGGCTAGGAGCGACGGCATAATACGTCCACATGAAAATGTGGGCGTATAAAAAACATTCATTGAAGTAGCTAAGTCCGTAACTCAATATCATCCAAAATCTTCGACATGGGAAACACGAATTTTTTGGCAATTTAAATCAGCATTGGTGTTGTAATTTTACCTGGAAAAGATGTGCTTCTGATATCCAATATTTACGACAAAATAAACATTTTACCATTGGTACACGAATCGTGTACCATAATGCGTTTCAGCGCCATTTGTAACAAGGTGCTCAAAGAATGAGGCTAGACATTCCACAAGTCATGTCAGACGGTGATATCATGTTCTTATTTGGAGAGCATGCGCAATAAATAATATCGGTGTTGACTGGAATAACCAGGCGCTAGAAATTGACTTGCGGTTGGACTTCTGGCGTATTTCGCCGAACATAACTGATGACAATTCACAGTAAAACGGACACGATTGAATGTAAATCAGTTTATATAAATTCATATTACATTATTACATGTGTTTCGACCTATTTGTGCCAATTTCTAGGTCCAAATATTAGCGATTTAGCTCCTTTAAGTTTATAGTCTCATTAACTTTATAGTCCCACCAATTCTCTTTGATATCATTTATTAATGATTTCTTCATTATGTGCCGATTCTGTAACATAAAATAAAGTACGGCGTTGGCCTCGCTATTCCATAAATCAGTGTATGGCGACCTCGAAATAAGTTACTCATAGACTTCTCCGTATTACAAGATCAAGATAGCTATCTTGTAGTTATCAGATAATCAAATTTATTTATTTATTTTTATTTTTTTCATTTGATGACCTATTGGTCTTCCGTAGCATGCCTACCAAATATGGTTGAAATATTTCAAGCACACCTGGCAAGAAGTTGAAATGAAGAAGAAAGCGAGCGACCCACAGGGGTGTGACATAAGCCCGAATGTCTAATAAAATGAATGTATATTTTGTATAAAGTACTTCATTTATTGCTTTCATCGAACATATAAAAAATTTAAAATGATTGCCGTACCTTGAAAAGCCTAATAATTTCCGTAAGGTTCGAATCATCTCTGACAAAACACCTGCTCTAGATCCGAGTGTTTTGATAATGCAAACCGATGCTAATTTATTGGGAGAACGCGTCACTTCGTTTTAACCCTCTTTAGCTTTCTGCTATCGTAAGACTTGGATTAGACCTGTTATTGTGCAGAACAGTTATGAGGTAAATGCATCAAACACTGCTGAAACAAGCTTGCTACGTAATGTAAAGTCTGAATAGAAAAACTGTAAAATCCTCGTTCTTTTATCAAAACTTAAAATACAGATGTGACGTCACCCTTTGATGTTGGCGTACCATTATTTCAAATAATCGTACGGGCAACTTGCCAATAGGACTTTATTCAAACCAGTGAGATATTGGACTAATGTGACGTAAAAGCTCGTGCTGAGTGTCAGTATTTTAAGATGTTTAATGGTCTCGAGCTTACGACATTGCGTAATATATTGTAAAAACATTCGGGCCTACGGCCCTCATGTTGTTACAATATATTACTTAATGTCTCGCTCTCGACCATTAAACAATACAAATGAGTCGCTATCCAGTAAACGAATTACTAAAAATAGACTACACTTTTTCCTATATAAATCACGTGATTTCATTGCCGTCACGGTTGTCCAGCGACAGACGTAGAGGTCAATTTGAGCGACGTGTATCTCAGCCCACTTATAGAAATTCACATTGTTGACAAAGGCCTTAAATTCATCTCAACTCCCACAATAACATTCATCCATAGACCCGATTTTTTCAGGTAACCGATCGCTTCCAAAGAACCCGTTAGTTAGCTTAATTTTTAGAAACAAACCCGGCAGAGCTAAAAAATTATTCACAGAAAACTCTACATGGAACCCAATCTGATTAAAATACAGATCCTATTTCGTTTCGTTTTTATAGTTCAAAATTTCGTTTTACTTGTCTTTACTACACTAGGTGTGGGCCATCGAAAGTATAAAAAACGAAACGAAATATAGATCTGTAGTTTAATTAGATTGCATGGAACCCACCTAAAAAGTCATTATCAACAGCCATCCTAAAAACTTTCGACGAAATGAACCCAGAAATATCATCCCTTCAACCACAATAACAAAAAACAAATCTCAACCGAGCAACAAAAACAGCCTAAAAAGGACAAAAGCATAATAATCAAGAAAAGTGATAAAGGCTCGCTTGCGAGGAGAGATCTAGCAGTGGAAGGAAACTGGAGGACCCGGAGAAAACCAACGAGGTTGGACAGGCCACACTACTCCTTGTCACGTACATCCGCCGATGGTTGCTAAGTAGAAGTATCAAACTTCTAAATTTGTTTGACTTAATGCTTAACATGTAAAGCGACAACAAAGTAGACATTTTTCATCTTAATAATAGAAATAAGATGAAACAGACTTAAAATTTACAGTGAACAAAAAAAGAAGTTGGATTGATTATACATTGTCTTAATTTAGAAATTACATGAATAGAAGTTAGAAATTACATGAGTAGAAGTAAGAAATTAGACGATAGCATGTTAGAATTTTGAATCTATTATACAGTCATACGCGTTATGTCATAATGAATCGCACATACTATGTCTAGGGGGCAGAAAATCGGTTAAATAACATTACACGACATTAGAATAACCCATCTTTAATAACCGCAACCTTAATAAACAACATCTAATATGACTTACAAGGCAAAGAATACATAACAGCAAAATAATTGGATTATTTTTATCCGCTTAAATTTGATTGTCGACTATACACTACCAAAAATAAACAAAACTCCAAAAACTATGGTGGCTGATAGTGGCCATGTTAAATCTCGCCCTTTTCATAACGCGACAACACGACATCACGACAGTATTGACGCAATCACACGACACTTTACTCTGTCGCATCATCGTGTTAATTTTATCGTAACGTCGAGATGTCGACTTGTCGGCTTAGTCTATTTCTACAAGTCACAAAAATACAGCTGTACTCATTACATCATCATATAAGTAGCAGATTAGATAAATATAAATAAGACTCGTACAAAAGAGATAGAAAAACGTTGATTAGTTATTTGTTTTCTCAAAAAAATGAAACATTTTGTGCCCAAAAGTGATTTATATTTGGTATTATATTAAAAAAATCTAGAATTACAATAGCCGGACCCAAGTGAGTTAGCTATGTTAATTCCTTGAATAAGAAGTGGTGTCGGGAAGTATCGAACAAGTTAGCATACATTGCTCCGTGTACGACACCCACCAATAATTATAGATGACTGGAGCGATAGTCTAGAAGGGATTTCAGAAGATTTCACATTGGTTTTATTACAGGGTGGGAAGGGGATTGTAGAAAGAATCAAATCGGGCCACATTATTTAAAATTAGTGTAGCACGCCACCCCAATAGTTGCAGGGGGGGGGGGGTATGAGGAGCAGAAAACGATTTGCAGCTGTTATTGACCTTATCGCATATTCATCCGTTTGGCATCACTAATGGGGTCGAGGCCTATAATAGATGAATAAAAATAGGCCCAATATTGCCTTCAACTATGAACATACTCTAAAAGACCCATACGCTTCCCTCTCCACGTCTCTTATTTTGTTTTACAAATAATTTCAGAATCATTAAAATGGTATCAATGATTTTTGACACGACTGGAAAATAATATGTCTATAATTGATTAAACAACATATGGTAGTAATGAGAAATATTACATTTTGAATCCGTATCAATGATAATGTACATTTATTCAATCCCGACACCACGTCTTATTCAAGGAATTAACATAGCTAAATCACTTTGGTCCTGCTATTGTAATGTTTTGAATATAATACCACATATAATTCACTTTTGGACACAAAATATTTCATTATTTTGAGAAAACAAATAATTAGTCAACGTTTTTCTATTATCTCTTTTGCACGAGTCTTATTTATCTAATCTGCTACTTATATAATGTAATAAGTACAGCTGTATTTTTGTGA